CCATGAGACCCTGGCATGGGTGGGAAAGGCATGGGTGCCCATGGAGGGGGGACACACACCCCTAAAGCCACACCTCCCCCTCGGTCTAGCCCCAGCCAAGGCTTTGCCCATTGGTTTCCTGCAGCTCCCTGCCCACCCAGCAGTGGTATTTAAGGCACCCATGTGTGCAGCACGGGCTGGGGGGTGCAGGATGGGGTGGCTGCTGGTGCTGGGTGCTGCCATGCTGCTGGGTGAGCACCCACCTTGGGGGGGGGGTCAGGGTGATGCCCCTTAGCCTGGGCACTGTGGGGTCCCTGTCCCCATGCCCGGAGCAGGGCAGGGGCAGTGGGCACACTTGTCCACCCCAAGCCCTGTGGTGTGCAGGGGGGTCTGGGATGCCCCGAACTGCACCATAGGGAGAGCAGGGATGGGGGCTCTGGGTCAGCAGGGACTGGGGCTCTGCTCTCTGCCCTGCCACCAGCACAGGGGACAGGGAGCCAGGGAGCAGACCCTGCTGTAAGGGGTTAATGAGCAGCATAAAGGGCTTTGGGGCATGGATTTGTTCTTCCAGGAGCAGAGAGCAAAGCTCCCCTGGAGACCCCCACATTTGGGGACATCTACCACGTTACAGGTACCGCCTGGGGAAAGGGCACCCCAACGGGAGCAGGGGGTCTGCACCTTCACCCATGGGTGACGCTGTGAGGCCATGGGGGGCTCCATCCTTACTCAGGGCTCCCCTCCCAGCCAAGGGCTCAGGGCAGGGGGACAGGGGATGCCTCTGGGTCTCAGTCCCTCTGTCCCCACAGGAGTCATCAGCCTGCCCTATGCGGAGATCAGGGAGCCCTTTGAAGCCTGGTACAACCTCAGCGGGGGGAAGAGCCGCATCCAGTACTATGATGGTGGGTGCAGAGAGGGGTCCGTTCCATCCCCTGACGCTTCACCACCCGCCCTAGGACCTTTGGGTGCCTCCTGGGAGCCAGGAGGTGGGGTTTTGGCTTGGCTTTCGCACTGTCCCTGTCCCCAGGCCAAGTGATCACCTACCAGCTGGGCTCCATCGAGCCCTTTGGTGCCAGCTTCAAGGTGACTCCCGAGACCACGGAGACGGAGGTGAACGTCCGCAAGTGCTTCCGCATCAACGGCACCGATGGGGACCTCATCACCCCGCAGAGCGTCTTCCCCAGCCTGGAGAACTTCAAGGTGAGCCCTGGGCATGGTCCTCCGGGATGTGGGATGGGGCAGTGGGTGCAGGGTGTCTGGTGACTACCTCCCTCCGAGGGCAGGTAAATACAGGGTACCTATAGGGCTGGATGGGCCCATGGGTGATGATGGAGGTGACAGGGATGCAGCTGGGGTGCCCCCACGGGGCACGGTGCTGGTGTGGTCCTGGTCCCTAACTCGTGTGCTGTGCCCAGCGGGTGCGGGACGAACGGTGCCAGGGGCAGCCCTGCGCTGTGTGGCAGAACATCTCCTATTGGGGCCACAAGAAGAACGTGTACAGGCTGCGGGTGGGCAGCTCTGCCCATGGCCCCGTGCCCCTGCACTACGAGGTGCGGGGCTACAACAGCCTCCTGGGGTCTCACTACGACAAGTACGAGATCACCTACTCCTCCTTCAGCCACTGCTTCCCCCCCAGCGTCTTCCAGCTCCCCGAGGGTGAGTGTCCCCATCCGCTGCCAAACGCAGCACCTTTATCACTTGTCTTCATGCAAGAGCTTCATCACTTGGGTGAATTAGTTTGGTGGGGAAAAAGCAGGGAGAAGTGGCATTAGTTGGGTAGCTGGGGTGATGTGGGTGCTTTCCGAGCATGGTGCTGGGTGAGATGGCTCTGGAAGAGGGTGTGGATGCAGAGGTGCATCCAAATAGAATCACAGAATCCCAGCCTGGTTTGGGTTGGAAGGGACCTTAAAGCTCATGGTCCCACAGGCAGGGACACCTCCCACTACCCCAGGTTGCTCCAAGCTCCATCCAACCTGGCCAGCTCCAAGTCCTTATGCTGGAGACACCAGAACTGCACCCAGTGTTCAAGTGGGGCCTCAGAAGAGGGCAGAGGGGTGAAAGCAGAGTAGAGGGGCATATGGGATGGACAGTCCCACTGGATTTGGGGTGCTCACGCTGTGCCTTCTGGCTGGGGGTCCCCACTCAGAGGGGGGAGCTCATGAGCTGTGTCCTCATGGCAGGGGTGCAATGCAAACAGTGGCCCGCAGCCGGCCCCGAGCACCGCATCGTGGCCAACCCCATGCAGGAGTTCGTGGGGCACCCACAGGTGATGGACCACGTCCACCACCGCCTCTTCCACCGCTACAAGGAGCGCTTCAGCAAGAGCTACAGCAGCGAGGAGGAGCACGAGCATCGCAAGCGCGCCTTCATCCACAACATGCGGTACGGGGTGACGGGGAGCCGGGCTCGGGGATGGGATGCTCCTTGCCTCCCGCAGCATCCCAGCAGGTGGAGGGGTGGAAGCCCTCACGCCGGGTGATGGTGCCGGTGCCAGCTGATGCCGTCCCCGGCGCGGGGCAGGTTCGTGCACTCCAGGAACCGCGCCGCGCTCTCCTACACGCTGGCCCTGAACCACTTGGCCGACCGCACGCCCCAGGAGCTGGCTGCACTGCGGGGCCGCCGCCGCAGCCGGGCCCCCAACACCGGGCAGCGCTTCCCCAGCGAGCTCTACACCGGCCTCATCCTGCCCGAGAGCCTCGACTGGCGGCTCTATGGTGAGGAGGGTGCTGGGGCCATGAGGGTGCACGGGTACAGCCCAGCTCTGCGCAGCGGGGTTTGCATGGGGACAGCATCATCGTCCCCTGCTCAATGTGTCCCCAGGCGCTGTGACCCCCGTGAAGGACCAGGCTGTCTGCGGCTCCTGCTGGAGCTTTGCCACCACGGGTGCGATGGAGGGTGCCCTATTCCTCAAGGTGGGAGCGGGACCGCGCTCCATGGGGATGGCTGGGGCACCACGAGGGTGCCTGTCCCCATCCCTGCAGCGTGTCCCCTCCCCAGACCGGTGTGCTGACCCCCCTGTCCCAACAAGTCCTCATCGACTGCTCCTGGGGCTTCGGGAACTACGCCTGTGACGGGGGGGAGGAGTGGAGAGCCTACGAGTGGATCAAGAAACACGGTGGCATCGTCAGCACCGAGTCCTACGGGCCCTACCTGGGGCAGGTGAGGGGGGCAGGGTGCAGTGCCACCCCCTTCCCAAGCCTTCCCCCCCCAGACCATCCCTTTGGCAGCGGATGGCGGCTCCACTTTGGCTTATGGGTGCTGCCCCCCTCACCTGCTGAGGGACCCCAGCGCCACCCCAGCCTCCTCCCCACAGAACGGCTACTGCCACTGCAACCAGTCAGAGCCGGTGGCCCAGCTCGCCGGGTACGTCACCGTGGAGCCGGGCAGTGCCACGGCTCTGAAGGCTGCGCTGGTCAAGCACGGCCCCGTGGCTGTCAACATCGACGCCTCCCACAAGTCCTTCGCCTTCTATGCCAACGGGGTCTATGAGGAGCCCCGCTGCGGTGAGCCCCATGTCCACGTCCCACTCGCTGGGATTGGAGAATCCGGGCAGAGGATATGGGATTGGGAATGAGCTCCAGCTCCAAGGGATGGGGAATGAGGCGGCTCCATTGTCTTCTCCTTGCCAGGCAATGAGACAATGGCGCTGGACCACGCGGTGCTGGCCGTGGGCTACGGGGTCCTGCATGGCAAGAGCTACTGGCTCATCAAGAACTCCTGGTCCACCTATTGGGGCAACGATGGCTACATCCTCATGGCCATGAAGGACAACAACTGCGGTGTGGCCACTGCTGCCTCCTTCCCCATCCTGGCCTGATGGGACACACGTGTCCCACCCCGTCCCCTCCGTGTCCCTGCAGGCAGCTCCAGATGGATGGGGGCTGGCAGAGGGACATGGGGCCCTGGGAGGCAGCTGTGGGGCAGAGGGATTAGCTGAGAGGATGCTCCCAGCCCTCTGGAAGAGGTAATTTACCATTATAGCAATAAAAGCCTATAGAAGTGATCCTGTCTGCCACGCTGCCAGCTCCAGCCTGTCCTCTGTGAAACACAGCCCTTGCCACGGCTGCCTCCGCACCCCTGTGTGATGAGTTTCACCCAGTGCTCACCCCTTGGGTTACACGTGGCCAAACCGCACAGGTTTCAGTGCTGGCACCCCCCTTCCCAGCAGCAGGAATAAGTCCGAATCATTCCATAGACGGTTTGGGTTGGAAGGGACCTTAAAGCTCCTCTCGTTTCCTTCCCCTTGTTCCACCCCCTGCTGCAGTGATCGCTGCACTGATGGCTGTAACCATCCTCACCAGGGCTGCGGACTCCAAGGCGGTGCCTGGGAGAGGCACGCTCACCCTGCAGGCATGATGGGCTTTATTCTGTCTTTGCTTCTCTTGGCTGCAGCCAGTGAAAGGCGCTTTGACAAACAGGGAAGCGGCACCTGGAGGCTCCCTTTGGAGACGGGGTGCTGAGCACGCAGGGGAAAGCTGGAGGCTCTGCACCCCAGGGGAGCTCAGAGGATTTAGCACCAACCTTCCCCATGGCCAGCCCCTTCCCCATGCCCAACCCGCCCCTTCCCCAGGTTCAGCCCAGCCCCTTCCCTACACTCGGCTCGGTTCGGCCCGACTCGGCTGTGCTCGGCTATGCTCAGATCGGCAGGGCTCGGTTCGGCCCGGCCCGGCCCGGCTCGGTTCGGTTCGGCTCGGCTCGGCTATGCTCGGCTCGGCCCGACTCGGCTGTGCTCGGCTATGCTCAGATCGGCAGGGCTGGGCTCGGCTCGGCTCGGCTCGGCTCGGCTCGGCTCGGCTCGGCTCGGTTTACCCCAAGCCAACCCCCACTTCCGGGTCCCCTCCCGCAAAGCCTTGTGGGACATCCCCCCCTTGAAGCGCGCGTCATACGGCGGAGGGCGGGGGGCGTGGCCTATTTGCGTCACCGCGTGACGTCAGCGCCGCCCCTTCCCCACCGCCCGCGGAGGGAAGAGGGCGGGGGAGGGAGGAGGAGGACGCGAAATCGCTCCGCCCACTTCTGAGGCTGAACCAATCCGGGCGGCGGGATGGCGGCGCTGTACGCCTGCACCAAGTGCCACCAGCGCTTCCCCTTCGAGGCGCTCAGCCAGGGCCAGCAGCTCTGCAAGGTCTGGCGGGGCCGTTTGTGAGGGAGAGCGGGGTTAAAGGGGTCCGAGGGGTCGTAGAGGGACGGGGTCTGCTTGTGGCGGGGGTCATAGGGGGGCTGGGGCGGCTCTTGGGGGCCTCAGGGCACGTGGGGGGCATGGGGGAGGTGTTGAGGGGCTGGAGGCGTGGGGGGAGCTGGGAGTGTGCGGTAATGAGAGACTGCTTGTTTGCCAGGCGGTGCTGGGGGGTGTCCGGGGGTGCTGGGGGTGTCCGGGGGTGCTGGGGGGTGTCCGGGGGTGCTGGGGGGTGTTCGGGGGTGCTGGGGGTGTTCGGGGGTGCTGGGAGGTGTCCGGGGGTGCTGGAGAGGGATTTATGGGGCCACTGGGGGCGAATTGGGAGGGAGGTGGGTGATGTTCTTGGGGGAAGTCTGTTTGGGATGGAGGGTTGGAGCGTTGACAGGGGGAGAGGCTTGGAGCGTTGGGGGATCCAGGGATGTTTGGAAGGGACTGGGGATTCTTAGCGGGGATCTTCTGGTATTTTGGAGAGGGGTGAGCTTAGGGGCACCGTTTGGGTTGGGAAGAGCAGAGGTGTGGGTACGTGTGGCAGCACTCTGTTCCTGCCCCGGGAGGTGAGGCCAGTGGGCGTTGGGCACAGATAAGCCCTCCCTTTACCTGTGACACACGTGGCTCCTGCCAGCCTCCCGCTGCTGTCAGCAGCGTGACTGTACCGGGAGGAAGTGTCCTGCCTGGTGGGTGGGTGTGCGTGGGGTCAGCGGGTGACCTGGGGTGTGGGAGGGAAGCGCTGCCTCTCACCCGGTGCTGCTGTTCTGCAGGAGTGCCGGATTGCACACCCCATTGTCAAATGCACTTACTGCAGGACTGAATTCCAGCAGGAAAGGTAAATGCCCTCTGAAGTGGGGGAGCCCAGTGTTTTCTATAGAGCAGGCACACCAGAATGATTCCACCCCTTCAGTGACTGAGCCTTAATCTCTAGGCTGTTGCTGTGGAGGACTTGGCCTTCTTCAAAGGTCTTCTAGGCAAGTCTGTGGTGTCTTTAAGTGTGCACTTTTTGCTTGGTTTGGTTTTTGGTCAGTGCTTAGATGCATCTTGCGATGAAGGAGCTGGGTGCACCTTCCCACCAGCTTCCCTCTCACCTGATTTCTGGTACCCAAAACTCATTTCCTAATGTGTTTTCTTTATCTGTGCAAGTTACAGAGGAAGAATTGGTAACCCCAGTTGTGTGAGACGTTCTTTCCTATGTGTGTTGGACAAAACCACCTCTGCCCTGCCCTGCCTTAACCTCCTCATCCAGTCACCAGTGCTGAATCACGCTTGCTGCCAATCAGCCGGTGCTCGGACTCCTGTATTTGGGAGGACCTGGTGGCACCTGGGGATGCCTTAAGTAAAAGCTGCCTTTTGTAATAGCACTTTCAGGCAAATTATCCTCAACCAGATGGGGATAAGAAACACACTTTGATATCTGAGTCCCTAGTGAAGACGAATACAGTCTCGCCACTAGAGACTGAGCACAGGGGAGACTGGGATCCTAAACCATGGATTTAATGTTCTTTGGGGAAGTGTTAATGGAATGATCTGTCCTTCTCTTTTAATAGCAAAACCAACACAATATGCAAGAAGTGCGCTCAGAATGTGAAGCTCTACGGCACAGTAAGTGAGCAGCAGCCTTTGTTCCTTTCGTCTTCCTCGTCTATCCTGCTGGCTCCCAGAGCAGTTTATGGGCTGCTCTGTTGTAATAGCACGACTGATCAATAACATGCAGGTCCCTCAAGGGTGAAGCTTTTACCTTTTCTCTCCTTTCACACAGAAAAGAGCAGCTCTGCATCATTTGAGGCCAGGAAATGGACTATTGGGTAGCCGATAGAAATGAGAGCGTGCTTACACAAAGCTGAGATTGCTGCAGGAAGCAGTGCTAAATCTTTCTTTCATGCTTGTCTGGAATCTGAAAAAGAGATTTGGATTGTATTATAGATTTTCCAGTTATTTTATTGCACTTGATAAGTGGTCTGGGTGCTAAATACACTTAGCTGGAGACCAGGAGTCCAGCTGCGTTACGTCTCGGATTGGAACAAGGAAATACAAGCTTGGAAGTGACGGGGAGAAGCGGAAAGAGCAATGTATTGGTGTAATTAGAAGGCAGTGCTATATTTTCTCTCTGTTCTTGTTTCTTAAAGCCCAAACCCTGCCAGTACTGCAACATCATAGCAGCATTTATTGGAAACAAGTGCCAGCGGTGCACAAACTCGGAGAAGAAGTATGGCCCTCCACACTCCTGTGAGCAGTGCAAGCAGCAGTGTGCCTTTGACAGGAAGGATGATAGGAAAAAGGTCAGTATCTCTGTAAAAGGAGGCCAAAAAGGTAAAAAGGTTGATCACAGTGGTTGTCTGTCCACACCCTTCAGTATTTGGGACATAGACTGAAGGAGCTGGAAGTGTCATACCTCCGCCAGGAAGCACATTCCATGCTTCTGCCACCCTTTGCTTCAGCAACACAAGTGCTTCTTAGGAGGCTTGAAGCCTTGTTCCTGCAGGCTGTAACCACCCCTTGGTCCTTTGGGATAATGCACTGATAATCCCTGTCCTCAGGATGAGACCCTTGCTGTTTGGGTTTGCACCCTGGCACAAACTGTTCCTTGGCATTGCTTTGAAATCCCACTTGAGTTAGCCTGTCCTGGTGAATGGGTGCTGTTAGATGGGCTGTAAGCAAAGCCTGGCAGAGGCTGTAGTTAGGATGGAGAAGCTTCTTTTGAGGAACCCTGTCTGCATTGTACCAGCCATGCCAGATGCACTGCTAACCCTTTCCAGGCACTTCTTGAGTCACTGCTTGTTCATATGTGATCTGAAGCCTGAAGTTGCTTCTTGCCTTCACCCTGTTTGGTTTGTGGGCTGAAAACAAGACCCCAGATTGCCCCACTCTCACGTTGCAGGTGGATGGGAAGCTGCTGTGCTGGTTGTGCACGCTGTCCTACAAACGGGTCCTACAGAAGACCAAAGAGCAGTGCAAACACCTGAGCAGCTCCTCCCGAGCAGGCCTGCAGGAGAAGGAACAGTACAGCAGGCTCAGCAGTGGCAGCCACTACAACAGGTAATCCGCGTGTACAGGGTGAGCAACTGGGGGGCCTGGCTGCTCCATGCTCCTTAGGTGCACTTCCTAAAGGAACTGGGAGAAGCACCCACCTTCAGTGATGGGTTTTGGGCTGTTGTTCAGGAGGCTCTGCCTAAGTGAGGCTTCGCCAGTTTGCAAAGCCCACTGTGCTGGAGTAGACTCGTAGGCCACCAGTGCTTAAGCTTCCTGAACTTGTATGTAATTCCAGCTCAAGTGCATGTGTGGAATTCCGTGATTTGAAATGGAGATTGGGAGCAGCAGTTCTTCACCTGCCTACTGCTCTGACTGACGCACTGGTGCCTGCTTATTTTTAGTCTCCAGCATTTTTTACCATTCTTGTGCTAGAAAATACTGGTTTAATGGGCTTAAAGTGGGTGGGAATATTTATCTGCTTCTCTCTCTTCGACTGCAAGTCATTCAGGTTCTGACATCCCATTTCCTCATTTCTTTTCCAGCCAGAAAACCCTATCCACCTCTTCTATTCAGAATGAAATCCCAAAGAAGAAAGCCAAGTTTGATGCTATATCTGCCAATGGTGACAGGTGAGCCTGGAACATGGGGAAATTGGGGGTGGGCTGTCTTGTTTTCGAAGTTTTATATGAGACAGAGTGCTGTGTGAATAGCAGGAAGCTATGCTTGAGTTTTGGGACATCGAGGGGCTGCGTTAGCAGCTCTCCAGAACCTGGCAGCCCAGTGTTCCTTGCCATTTAGGCATAAGTTTGAAGAGGAAATTAATACCTAGTGCCTGGACCTGCTAAAATAGAACCTGCTCCTTGGCTGAGCTCCCTGGAGCCAGATCAGCTCCAGCCTCTCCCCGCAGTTAGAGGGAGAGGGGGGCTCTTGGCTACGCTCTTGACTTGAGCTCTGCAGCCTTTGTGCTTTTGGGGCTATCAGCCTGGTCTGCAGGGAGGCTGCCTTGGAGGAGAGGATGGAGACTCACCTCCTGTATCCCTCCTCTGCTCCCAAGCCAGAAGCTTGGCTGGAAAGCATCAGATTCCATCCTGATGTCAGAGTTTGTGCTGGATTGATGCTGCGTGCGCAGCGGAATGGGAGATAGCAGAAACGGGAAGATTGAGGTGGATTTTGATTGATTTTTTTATGGTCTTGTACATGCAGATTTTCATTCCTGCCTTTCCTCTCTGCTTCTCAGCGTTCCTTCCTCTCCCGAGATGCTTTGTCCCCCTATCCAGAGTGCCCCGTCCACGCTGGCGCCGTGGGCTGCTTCCCAACAGAGTCTCGGTGCCCACCATTGTCCTGTTTCTCAAGGCACTGACATCCTGAAGTGAGAGCACGAGTTGTTTTCTCCCCTCTTGCCCTCCCTCCTTCCCTGGGAACTGCCTCATCCATGGAAACCATCCCTCTTGGTGGATCTCTGTCCCAACAGCAGTGATTTGGGAGCACAGAGCATAGGCTCATTAGTGCCAAAGGGTCTGTTAGAACCACTGGTAATGAATGAATCACTACCTGCCTTGAATGTCATCTTTTCAGATCACAGATTGCATCTGTGCTATAGATACCACTGACACCTTGTCAGCAGTTGTTCATGTTTGAAATGCTCCAATGGGAAGTAGAACTCATCTGAATTCAGTGCTGGTGGAGCCAGAGCAGAGACTGGAGCTAAGTCCCTGGTAGAACTCATGCAGCCCATTAGTATTGCAGCAGCTTTCCCTCTCGAGGGGCTCCTGCTTGCCTTCTGAGGCTGTAGGACAGCACCAGGTATTGCCATCTGCTCACTAAAGCCTGGGCTAACAACTCACTGTAGTAGCCCATTTGTGTAATACCCTGCTGCAGATTGGTGGCTCGGCTTCGTGAGCGAAGATTTGGGAAGGGCTTTAACCATGCTTACTACAAGCACGATGACCAAGGGCAAGTGGCCAAGAAGGAAAAGGTCCCCAGCTCTGGCATCAGTTGCTCAGTCATTCATGTGCAAACCAGAAGCCTGTCTGAGAGGAATCAAACGCCTTCCTTTGCTCTTGTTGTGAGCCTGGCTCCTGCCAAGGCTCTGCTCCTTGCCACACACTATTTGATGACTCCCAGCAACAAACTGGGGGTAATTTTAGCAACTCCTGAAGAGCTCCAGCAATGTGCTGTAGGAAAGGCAGGCAGCAGCTGCCTCAAATAGACCCAGGGCTCTGCTTCTGGAGTGCAACAAGAATGGTGGTTCATTATGTGACGTTTTGGAGTCGCTGGGTAGGGGGTTGTGGGGTTGAGACCCCCCCAAAACTCCTTCTTCTTGCCCCATTATGTAGAAGATTGTTAGGGTCTGCTGCAGTACAGTGTAGCCTGGAGTGGGGTGAGACACAACCAGCACCTCTTCACTGCTGAGATTAGCTGTGCAGCACATTCTGACTCCAGCCAAATTTCCAGCGCAGGTTGGACAGGGCTTGGAGCAAGCTGCTCTAGGGAAGGTGTTGCTGCTGTGGCAGGGGGCTGGAACTGGATGAGCTTTAAGGTCCCTTCCAACCCAACTTATTCCATGATGGAACAGTCATTTGGTTCCTTTTTTGTTCAGTAGAGAGGCAGGTGTCTTTGGAATTGCTCCAGTTTTCCCTCCTTCTCCACTGGAAGCAACAGTAGCTCATCCATGTGCTTCAGAGACATGCGCTTTATCCTGCTCAGACATGGAGAGCAGTGGCCCCCTGTCCTATTCCAAGGGGCTGTGCTCACATACGTGACAGGAGGGGATGCTGCCCACTGGCACCCACTCGTGGGTGCAGACCCCGGGGACAGGCACCAGCTCTGCCTGCGGCTCCTGAGTGCTGCTGATCCTCCTGTCCCTTCTTCCCGCTGGGTGGCAGGGCTGGGTCTCCCCTTCCTTGCTCCACAGGGAGAGGGAGCTTGGCAACAGGAGCTGCCAAGGAGGGAGCTTTTCCTGCTGGAGCTGGTCAGGGAAATGGGAGCATCTCCTGGCACTCTTTGGCAGGAGGGAAGCTTGCTTGGGTGTCAGCAAGAGGGAATTAGTGAGGAAGCTTTCTCCCTGTGGTGGCTGGGGTTTTAATCTATCCTTTCTCTCCTCCTCAGCATATTTGCACTGAGTGGGAAATGAAAGCTACTGTTAGTAACAAGCTTGCACACAGGAAGGTGCTGGAGCACCCACCATCATTGTGCACAGCCTGCACTCGGGAAACCCGGGAATAGTTTTGAAATGGAAAGATTCCCAGCATGTATGAACCTCTTGTGCACTTGAGAGCTGCCCAGGGTGAGCAGCACAGTGATGGGCGCAGAGACCTGCCGTATCTCTCAGCGTCTGTGATGCTGTCCCTGCTTAGCTTCCCCCTGTAGCTCCCCAGCACTGAGGTGGAAAGAGCCTTTCCTTCTGCCCTATCCTTGCTGGTGAGTCCAATTGGTGTGCTTCTAATCAGAGAATGGGTGATTTCCAGACATGATGAGCAGCCAGTCCCCTCTGCCTTGGTGGCCACATGGGGCCTGGAGGTGTCTTGACAGAGGCAGTGACTGAGGTTCAAACCATGCCTTCCCCAGCCCACTGCAGCTTTAGAGCTGAATGCAGGCTTTAGGACGTGTTGACTTACTCTGGAGGCTTTAAAAAGAGCTGGCCTTCAGGTAACCCTGGCTCTTGATCTTTATAGCAGATCTTTATATTATCTATATAGGCCTGATAAGGGCCAGACTTGAAGTAATCTCCTAGGCAAAGCTTTGTTCTTTTATTGCTGTTCCAGTTTAATTCAGCAGTTTCAGGTGTGTGTGGCTGGGAGGGTGCTGCCCTTTTAACACACCAAGAGATAAAAAACAGCTTTACCATGACAGCAGTCAGGAGCAGACAGCAGGCAAAGATCAGGTGAGCTCTCTGCGCCTGTGGCTGCAGCTTATCATATTTTGTGATGTGAAATAGTGCACACTGCAAGGCTCTGTGTGGCTGCCCAGGTCACTGGCTGCCTTGTAGGGGAATGTAGGGATTACCAGTGCAGGTGGGTGACTCATGTCCAGGTAAGTTTTCAGCTGGTTGTTTAGGGTTAGAGTGCCTGGTGGTGTGTAAGTGCAGCTGTTCCTCTTCCTGGAGAGAGCCTTTCCTGCTCTGAACTCAGTGAGGTTTTGCTGTACATCCAAGAGCAAAGAGAGTTCCTCTGTGTTTGCATGAAGGTTCATTAGCTTCATTCCTGTCCTCAACTCCTGGGTTTGAATAAAGATCTGGACTGTTGGAATGGTTGCTGCCGACACTGGTTGATGGTCACCCATAGCAGTGCTGCATCCCTGCTGATTGTGCAACAACACAACTTGATATGGCACATGAAATCCCTGTTCCTTGTGTTCCTGTGGCATCCAGAGCGGGGATACAGGTGCCCCCTGCGTTCAAGGAGTGTGTCATTAAATGATTCCTTTTCTCCTCCAGTACCCTCTGGGCGGGGGGGTTTCCCTGCCTTGGTGAAGAGAAGGGGTTGTGATGAGAGCCTCTCCCTGTTCTTGCTGCAGTTTTTCTCCAGACCTCGCCCTGGACTCTCCTGGCACTGACCACTTTGTTATCATTGCCCAGCTGAAGGAGGAAGTGGCTACTCTAAAGAAGATGCTGCACCAGAAAGACCAGATGATTTTGGAGAAGGAGAAGAAGGTACAGCCCTTGGCTTGCTTCCCCCCACATCAGATGCTGACATCTTCACACAGATCACACTCCAATGGAGTCTGGCTTTATCTTGGGAATGAGGAAGAGAGTTTCTGGCTGCACTCCCCCAGCATGTTCCTGAACTCATCCAGTCTCACAGAGTTTCTGCAGGGTGCATGGGGGTGAAGGCATTAATCTCTTCTTCCAGCTCACTTGCTCCTGACTGGTTTCTTTGCAGATCACCGAGCTGAAAGCTGACCTGCAGTACCAGGAGTCGCAGATGAGGGCAAAGATGAACCAGATGGAGAAGACACACAAGGAGGTCATGGAGCAGTTACAGGTGACAGCTTTTTTGTTCTCATTTGCTAAGCTCTGCTGGACCCAGGAGTGACTGAGAACAGTCACTTGTGAGCTGCTGCACACACAGCTCTGTTAATGCTCCTCAGCCCTCTCCTCTCTGTCCTGCCAGTTCTGTAGCAGGCTGCAGTGCATTGTAACCCCTATTTATATTCACCTTGCTGCTCTCTCCTCTTACTCTATTGTATAGTTGAGAGGAACCATCAAACTCATTTTAGCTACTGCCAAAATCAGGTTTGAACCTGTTTCTCCAGACTGTAGAACCTTTGTCTGCCCCCCTTTCTAATGTGATTTATGGGACCAGCAACCAGAGAGAATAAAAGCTCAAGCAACAGCTGTCAGTTCCTTAGCATTGGATCTCTGGAGTCCAAATCAAGCAGGTTTGAGGGAACAGGGAGAGCAGGATTCCTGTCATGGCCGTGGAAACGGTAGGCAGACAATCAGCATGAATACCCTGTGAGCCACCAAAGAGATCAGGTCAAAGGGGAGCTGGTTACAGGGAAGAAGGCAGGCACAGAAATGAACTTTGTACCCTTTAATTGCTCTGGGGGATGGAATGATCTCAAGCCCTAGCAATGAGAAATAGGAGGGGCTAAGACAAAAGGCTTACATTCCCCTGGAGCAAACAACCCCTCCTCCAGCAACACACCCCCAAGTCACTGATCAGAGTGGAAGACAGGTTCTGTCTGTGTGTGTGTAATGTGCAGAGGACTGGATGTGTTCCCATCCTCATGAGCACTGGTGGGTTGTGTTTGAGGGGCTGACAGAGCCACTGATCCGTGCTCTTAGCGATCCTGCACTGCCCGTGTCAGCCCTGAGCTCTCTTCCTCCTGTTTGGGTGTCCAAACGCTCCAGTTTGGAATAGACATTGCCATTAGCCCAAACCTCCACTTTTTGCTTGCCTTGGCCAGGAGGTCAAAGGCTAAGAGGAAGATGAGCCCTCCTTGCAGTGCTTTCCTGCCTGGAATACATTCTCTCTGTTGTGTCCCAGTGTTTTCCTTCAGCTGGTGTTGACTGAGGCTCTGGAAACTTCTCTTCACTGATGCCAAATAAAAGTTCACATCCTCTCGGTGTACTGAAGGTGCCTTGAAGTGTTCCTATGATTCACTGTTAGAATATGCTGTTGCTTTGTCTTTTTTTTTTCCATGGGGGGAAGCAGGAGTTGCCTGTATGCTTCCAATCTGCAGGAGGCAAAAGAAGCTGCTTTACTGTGTGCAGCAGTGGAGCAGATGATTTAATTCCTCTTTACATAGTCATTCATTCACTGAGAACGAATGCAGAGGACCTGTATCTGTCTTCACACAGGTTTTACCCCTTACCCTACTTCTGGAGCATGGTTTATCATAGGCTAGGAGATGATTTATCTCCTAGAATAGAGGAGAGTGAGCTCCAAAGTCTGGTAAAAGGGGCTGGAGAGCCTTGTTTGTAAGTTGATCTGAGTTTTAATTAAGTGCAAACCACAGGAAGTGGTGCTCTCATGGGTTTGGAAAGCTGGTAGGAATGCAGGGCTATCAATTCTTCCTTACAGCTGTGGGCCATGAGGGGTGGACCATCTCTAGGTGCTTAGAGATGAGATGCCAGACTTGAGCTCGTGCTGTGGTGCCACAGAGCCATATTCACCTCCTTTTTCATCTGCCTGCTTGAAGCCAGCAGTTTGTGGCCAGCCAATTCTAGGAGCCCAAGAACTAATGATGATCCATTAAATCCCCATTTTCACTGTGTTTCCAGGCCAAGAACAGAGAACTCCTGAAGCAAGCAGCTGCCCTATCGAAGGGCAAAAAGCCTGAGAAGTCGGGAGCAATAACCTCCCCTTAGAACCAAACCCCCAGTGTGGGAGCTTTCCCCAGCATTAGCCAAGGACTCTGGGAGACCTGCCTGAGCGCTGGAAGCCAAAACCTCAGTGTGGTCCCTCTCCCCCTGCTGCGGACTCCATGGAAACGCCTGGTGTGTGTGTGTTGCCTTTCGACAGCATCCTGAGCATGGCTGGTCCCCGTCCATCTCTGTTCAATACCAGCCTAGAACCACGGTGATCCATGGGGAGAGGTCCCAGCCATCCTAAATGTCTCTTTCAGTTCCTACCACTGCCAACCCTTTCTATTTGCAAAGAGGAACCTGCTGCATTAGAGACTTTGCTTGGTTCCCAACCTGCTGCTGTGAGGCAATAGCCATGGCCCGTTGGGAGCTGCATGTGGTGGGAGCTTGGTTTCCCTTCAGCTCTTCCCTTTTCAAAAGGAAGCTGATAAATCACCAGCCCGACAGACGTTACTGGAACATTGTGCCACTGCTGAGAATGCTTGGTCCAGCCTTTTTGGAAGATGCTCCCAAAATGGGGGCTTTGTATTTCTCTTGGAAGGGGGGTTTGGGTTTGTTTCTGGGTTTTTTCTTCTTTTCTATGGAAAAACCAAACTGCCTGGGGTTGTGTTTTCTTGTTTTCTTCCAATAGATTTCAGGTTGGGAGCCAGAGTGTAAGGATACAGGACACCACCCCCCCCTTCCTCCTGGTTACTTGGTGACCTGTGGGGCATTGATGACTTCTGCAGCTTGGTGTGATCAAGCATCTTTCACTTTGTTTCTTTACAAAAGGAGCATCCAAGGCTTGGCTGTGCCCTCTGCTCCATGGGTTGAGCTCCCCAGAGCTCCCTTCCAGCTGCAGAAGCAGGGCTTGGATTAGGAAAGTGCTTCCTCAGGAAGTGTTCTGTGGGGCTCTCCAGGGCTGTTCCTCACTGCTGAGCAGAAGCCAGCGGAATCAAAGGGCTATGAAAGCTCCCTGGAACAGGGACGTACTTCTTGGAAGCAGCCCAGAGACCACAGACCTCTGAGGTGAGCACTCCCCGTGCTCTGCCTCTTGGGGTGCAGCTCCCAGAGGGCAGGAGAGCTCCTCAGCATCCCAGCACCAGTCAGAGCATGAGGAGCCATGTGTGGGGCCGGATGCAGAGAGGAGGAGTGGGACATGGAACCATGGTCTGGTGCTGAAGGTGGATAGAGAGAGGAGAAACCTTTTTGATGCAGGGCTTTTATGAAGCTCTTCACTCGAGCCTGTGTTGATTGGGTTTTCCCTATTAAAGATGACTTTACTCAAGGCACTTTTTGGGATGATGTTGGCTCCCAGCATGGCAGGAGCATGCTGGAGCATCCGACCCAACGCCATGGGCTTGGTTTTGGTTGTATGGGTTTATTTTGAGGTGAAAACAAGAAGACAAAACTGAAGCTGTTGCCCTTTGCCAGCAGGGAAATACTACCCCAGATTTTCTACTTCACACCTTTTAGGATATGAGGTGCATTGGTGGGGCTTTTTTAACTGGGGGCTTTGCTTTTTCACCTCCCTCAGGGTAAAAGAAGAGGGAGAAGGGCCCTGTTGTATATATGATGGGGGTTTTTTAACTGTGCTGAATGGATCATGCACTCGAGTAGCTGATGATTTGTAGTCGAACATCGTTCCTTTGTATGTTTGTACTAATGGCGATTTTCAACGGGATGCTTTGATTTGTACAAAACTCTTTGGCGACTGTAAAAGTGTTTTCAAAAAGCCTCATCTGTGTCTCAGACTTCTTCTTTACCTGCCGGAAAACCAAAGCACCTTCCCCTGCCCACAACTGCTTTAGCACCTGGTGGTCGAAGCACCCATAGTGTTGCTTTGCAGTCTGGTTGCGTTTGGGACTGAGATGCTGGGTTTCTGTTGTTTGCTGCTTTCATTTCCCCCTTTAAATCCTCCTGATGAAGGCTGTTGCTAGGCTCCTTGTTACTTGGTTACATCCAGCTTCCCAGGACCCATCCAGCTGCATCCCACGGGATCTGGGCTGTATTTTCTTCCCAAAGAATGAAGGCAGAGCATAGAAACAAGAAGCCAGGAGGAAAAGGGGGGGTGCAGGGGAGGTGAGTAAGCACCATATGAAGCCTTCCCCTTATCCCAGCCCCAACTCTGGAGGAAGACCAGGGCTTTGGGCTTTGTTTCTTAAAGCTTTTCATTTCCCAACAGAAATCCGGGAGTGAAAACCTCCTGGAGAGTTCAATTTGGGAATGTCCCTGTCCTGTGGGAGCTGCAGGTCAGCGCTGAGTGCTTTCCCTGCCTGTTTACACCGGGCAAGGACCTGCTGTGTCCTTGAACGTCTGCTCCCTGCATTGCAGGGTGGGGAAAGGCAAATCTTAGCTCTCCTGCTTCGAGCCCTGCAGCCTTCCATTGTTTCTGCAGCGCAGGGGGATGCCTCCTACAAGTACCTGTGCCAAAAACCAGGGCTTAGTGCCTTCAATCAGGGCAGAACCCCCTGGGGATACACAGGGAGAGGGTTCCAAACCACTGTGCTTCATGCAATGTGTCCTTCACAGCGTGTCACTGAGCTGAGCCTTAAATCTGCAGCCTTCAGCAGCTCCTTATCCCTCTTCTTCCTCCTCCTTATGCTTGCTTTCAGGTGCCTGGATGACGAACTGCCCCTTGAGAAGGTGAGCTGGCACCTTCCTGCTGCTGCCTGAGTGTGCCAGCGGTGCTTGGCGCTTCCAGGGTGCTTTATCTCTGCTGAGCACAGCAATGGGAATGGGCCCAATTATCATGCTTTACAGCAGGGCAGGAGATAGATGAGAGCTGATGTGCCAAAGGCTGAGCTCCGACCCAGCGGGGAGAGCTGGAGCCAAGCAAAGAACCTCCTGGTGTCTGCCGGGTGGAGCTGCAGGGAGATTCCAGCTGGATTCAGGGAATTGCTGCACTTTCCAGCCAGGCATTGGGTAAGAAATGGCTGGCTCCTGCCTTTACCTGGTTTATCCAGTGCTTGCAGATGGATACATGGATATATTCAGTTCATTTTGGGTTGTGATTGCTTTATTCCAAAGCTTTAGGAAAACACAGTTTTCATAGTAACTGAACACACCTAAATAGGACACATGGATCTCAGCCACTTGCTAGTAACCAAATCCAGGTAAAAACTGAGTTCCAGGTTTTTTCCCTATTCCAGTCCTTTCAGCTGAGCTGATCTTTGGCTGTGCCTTGCCTGAAGCTCAGTGCCTCTGCAGCTGAAGGTGCTTGGGTTTGCAAAGCACTTCCTAACCAAGAGGATTAGATTTTAACCTGGTTTGTCTTAAGTAATTACTTGCCTAAATATCTCCTTTACCGTCTTGCAGGGCCCCTGGCAAGGATCTGGAGCTCTTTTGCAGCCTAATAGCATGTACCTGCAGCAGAACTAAACCTGCTCAAGCAGAAGTCAGCCGACTTAACCAGCCTGGTAATTACTCAGCACCACATTCCCTTCCATTCCTCCCTCATTGCTGGGCTTTCCTGGGAGCAGTGGGGGCAACAGGCTTTAAAATGGGCTTTAAAGAACCCCAACACTGAGGATCTTTAAATCCTTTCACGCTGTAGTAAGTGATGTGCTGTAGCTGAGCCAGGAGAGGAGAGCAGCAGCCTTGGGCTGGAGATGAAGGGAACAAACTGGCAGTGAGACCTGCTCCTTTGGGATGGAGTTTTTCTCTTTTTCACAAGATTTCCATGAAGAAAACTCAGCTGCCCTTTGCCTTCTTCCAAAGGGAATCTCCAGAGCTCCAGGAGTCCAAAGGTGTTTTGGCTGTAACCCCCGTCCTTACCAGTTCTGGACCAGCTCCACTGTGTTCAGTCCCTGCTCCCAGAGCACGTGGGGATAGCAGCTCCCTCCTATTGCTATTCCCAAAGCTTCCAGAGCAGTGAGGATCACAAACCAGTAGGAACCATTGTTTCTAAGGTATTTATGCTGGAGAAGACGTGTCCATCCTCCTTTGGTATAGAAACACCGATGGAGCAGGATGCTCCTGTTGGCCTCGCAGGTGCTGCAGTACCAAGGACCACATTAGCAGTGACCTCTATGGCTCCAAACGCTGCAGCTGCAGAGGAATCTTCTCCCCACAAAGGGGTGGGCTTCCATCTTCCAGCTCCCCAAGGCTTGGGGCTGGTGGGTTTTCCCACTGGAGGCTGTTAGTGGGGAGGTGTGGGGTGACCAGCCATGGGGGTGATCCAGCTCCCACATCTTCCTACAGGAGTGGGGCATGTGAGGAAGGGAAACACTTAATGATGGGTGTCTTATCTGCTCCAGGGGCTCCCTATGGACAGTCCCTGCATGGTCTCTGCTGCTTCCCTTTGTCCTCAGAGTCCAGGCTGGCCAAAACCACAGACCTGGTGATGTCCCAAACAGTTGTCCCCAGTCAACCTTGCTGTTTGCTCTAAGGTGACTTATGTTGAGCAATAGGCATTGCCTCTCTGCTCAGCTTCCTTGCAGCTCTTCGACCCAAGCGAGACTTGTCCAGTCAGCGTCTCGAGCACTGTCAGTCCCTAAGGAATTGCTGAGCAGTCGCTTGTTTCCCATGATTGGTGGTGCTGGGAACAGGGTGGTTGGGTTCAGCTCTCGGGTTCCTCTCTCGAGGAAATGTTGCATCTCCTTTGTCACCCTTTTTCCAAGGAATATTGCATTGGGCCTCACTGGAATGCTGCTGTGTGCCTGGGATCAACCAGCAGGGAGAAACCCTCCTCCAGTTGTAATTCCTTGAGGAGTAAGTGGGCAACAGAGCCTGGAGCACAAGTCTGAGGAGGAATGGCTGAGGGACCTGGTGAAGGCTCAGGGGGACCTTATTGCTCTCTACAAGTACCTGACAGGAGGTTGCAGTGAGGTGGGATCAGTCTCTGCTCCCAAGAAACAAGGAATGGGACAAGAGGAAACAGCCTCAAGCTGCACCAGGGAAGGTTTAGATGGAGACTGGGGACTATTCCTTCCTCAAAGGGTGCTCAGGCATTGGAACAGGCTGCCCAGGGCAGTGCTGGAGTCACCGTCCGTTGGAAGTGTTCAAGGCCAGGTTGAACAGGGCTTGGAGCAACCTGCTCTAGTGGAAGGTGTCCCTGCCCTGGGTGTGCTTTAAGGTCCCTTTCAACCCAAACCACTCCAGGATTCTGGCACCCGCATGGCAAGGTGCAAACTCTGGTGCTTATCGGCTGGGATGGGCTGACCTGGGGCTGTGGAACAGATGGGATTAATTGTGGGCTGCTCTGCTCTTGCTCCCTGCACCAGCGTGCCAGCTCCGGGGAAAACATCCTCCTGGCACAGCCTTTGCTGTCTTCTGATGGGATATTTTTACATCGGGTACTTGGCAGCATCTCCAGCGGGATCACTGCCTGGAGAGGTGAGCCCACCTCTCACCACAGCCCCGTGGTCCCTGTGGCCCTGTCAACGTGTCACCCTCGTGTCCAGAGCTTTTGGGGGGGGACGGAAAGGGGAGAGCAGAAACAGCAAAACACCCCTATAAATAGCAGCAGGGTGTTGGGTGTCTGAGCCGCGCCGGGAAGGGGACAAGGACAAGGAGCAGCCGTCCAGGGGGCATCTGACACTCTTGGCTGTGCCGCCACATTGAGTTCATGCCATGCTGGGTTAATGGGCCGGAGCTCGGGCCCGGAGCTGCTGGAAGCTGTTTCCAGGCAAATCCGGAGTTGTTTGTGCAGCAGCTCCCATGGGCTGGACTTTGCCGTGTGCAGGCTGCCGAGCAGCAGCAGGCTGTTATCAGTGCAGCCGTCGGTGGCTGCCCGCGGCGGGGGGATGAGGGGGGTACTTTTTGACTCCTTTCCTTTTTTATTGGCTTTGGGCCCTGTTGTTCCAGGGGATGGGAGCTGCAGCTCATGGGGCTCCCCCTCGGTGGGTGAATCCCAGTGTCCTGTAGGGGTGCCTGGGGGGCTGCGGGAGGGGGATTCTGCCTGGTTCCTTCCCCCCCTGGCCCCAGCATCGTTTCCCATCGCTCCCTGCACCCAGGGATGGGAGCGCTGCGGGGCACGCTCGGATCCTCCCGTGGGACCCACGGAACTACAACCCCCAGCGCTCCCCGCGCCGCCGCCGCTCCCCATTGGCTGGCGGCCGCCCCTTGGCCACGCCTCCTCCTTGCCCATTGGCAGAGCCGCAGAAGGGGGCGTGGCCGCCCCGCCGCCGCGCTATGAAAGCCGTGCGGGCGCCGGGGCACCGGGAGCTTGCAGCGCTGTAGAGCCCGGGGGGACCCCGGGACCCCCCGTGTCCCCCCCCCGGGGCCGGCCCCGCCATGCTGGTGGCCGGCTCTCCGTGCGGCCCCGCGCGGCTGCGGCAGTACCGGGGCTGTGGGGGCCGGCGGGGCTGCGAGGTAAGGGCCGGGCTGGCCGGGGCTGTCCCGCTTGGCATCGCCCTCCCGGGGTGGGATGCGGTGACCCAGCCGCTGTGCCCCACCTCGGGACTGGTTGTAGGGGGCGGGGAAGCGGGGATGTGGTGGAGGAGCCGGGGCCGGCTCCAGCCGAAGGGTGCTGCTGGGAGCCCACCCAGGGGTGCTGGGGATGGATTGGCCCCATCCCGGCATTGGGATGGTTGGAAGGGGAGATCTTGGGATGTCCCTAATGCTGTGGAGAGGAGGTTCTGCCTGGAGCAGTGGGTTGGGAGGTGAGACAAGGGGCCTCTGGGGGCTCCGTCCAATTGCTGCTGTTCCCGGACGGGGAATGGGATCTCTTTCCATGTCCCCATGCCTGGCATCACCCGTGGCTTCTGGACTTGGAGGCTAATGTGCAGAATGTGAGTCCCTGAGGTGCCTGTGGGGTTTTATGGATAGCCCTGTGGCCAGTCCGCAACTTCGGTCCTCCAACATTCCGACTTTCCTGGGAAGCTGGGGATGGCATCTCTTTAAAAAGTCTTAACACTCCCGTGTTGTCCTGGTGCTTTGGAGCCAGCTCGGGGAGAGCCGGTGCTGGTGGGAACGCCCTAGACCTTGGTACCATGGGCTGGAACCGTCCCATCCACCGTGCCCTTGGCGCTGCTCTCACCCCCCATGGGGCAGCTTCCAGCCCCGGTCCAGGCAGGAGATGGTTCCGAGGGGCAGACCCGCTCCGCCGGGTGCCTGCAGGGTGTTTGCTTAACCTCCCCTTATCGGGAATGATTTTCCAACACCTGACTAAGCACTGGCTCCAGCGCTGCTTGGCACACCCCGCCTGCTCCCGAGGGATTAACTCCTTCCCCAGCGCCTCCGTAGAGCCCCAGGGCAGGCTGGAGGTTGGGAGCAGGTCGGAGCCAGCGCCTCGCCTCCGTGCCTCAGCGTCCCCAGCAGTGGAAGCAGGAGGTGGTACCTTACACAGCGGTGGTGCAGTGCGGGTTAACCGCTGAGCATCGCTTAATGCAGCCACACAGAACGAGCCTCTTCGGAGGGATGATTAAAACGCACCTTCCAAGGTCACCCTGAGCTGTCATTGCCGGGCTCCAGGCTCCTTCCCGCCACCCTGGCTGGAAATCCACGGTCTGTCCCCATGGATTTGCATTGCTGGGGTCCCAAGGGAGCCTCTTGAAGCACCAAAGCAGCTCTTTTGCCCCCAAAAGTGAGTCAGCACTGAGCCAGCTCAGCACCTGCTGTCACCCCAGTGTCACGCCAGGCTCTTCAGTGGTGACTCAGGGCAGGAGCATCCTGCTGGGAGCAATGGGAGCTGCTGGATGCAGGTGCTGGTGGCAAGGTCCTGAAGAGGGCACCACGGAGAGTGGGGTGTGCAGTCTGTGGTTGGCACCCACGGGAGCTGTGTGTCCCTGGTCTGGGGTTGACACCCGTGGGTGCTGCATGTCCCCTGTCTGCCATTGACACCCATGTCCCTGGGACCCTCAGTGGCCGGGCTGACACTGTTGTTCCTTCCTTCCTAGGACACGGGGATCCAGGTCCCCCAGGAGCTGGAGAAGGGGCCCAGCGCCTTCATCCCCCTGCAGGAGGTGAGAGGATGGCGATGGTCCTGGGTGGGTGCTGCCAGGGGACAGGGCAGGATTCCCAACCCCTATTGCTGGTGCTGGGGTGCGATGGGGAAGGGTCCCCACTCTGCTGTCCCCCTTGTGGCAGTGGGGGGCAGCAGTTGTGTTCCACCCTGCCGTGCCTCAGTTTCCCCATTCATCCAAACCCCTATCCCCCAGTAACACCCTGCGGTCCCCATAGGGCACCCTCAGCCCTATCTCAGCACCCAGTGCCTGGGTCCCAGATGTTCGTCCTGCGCTGGAGATAACAGAGTGGTTTCGTCACCCAGAGAGGCTGGGGGGGGCGGGCCCGTCTCCTCCTCCCCATTACACACCGGGGCCCAAACAACCAAACAACCCCACTGACGGGGCTGTGCAGGGTCCGCCATGGAGCCCCCCAGAGCTGGGAGCAGTGGGGAGCAGAGACGGTGTCCGTACCGGGCAGGGGTGAGTGCTCAGGGGGGTGGGATGGGTGCTGCTGGGTCCTGATGCTTGGGTTTAGGGGGTTCCTATTGGGCGGAGGGGCTGCAGCACAAAGCCCTCCTCTCCCCATGCCCACAGATCCTGCAGGAGGGGATGGAGAGCAGCCTGCGCCAGCTCCTCATCGAGGCCTTCGTCTCGGCGGGCCGGGTGGACAACATCACCATGGTCATGGGGCTGCACCCCCAGTATCTCAGCAGCTTCTGGAAGACCCAGTGCCTCCTGCTGCGCATGGACGGGCCCCTGCCCTACCACAAGCGCCACTACATCGCCATCATGGTGAGCATCGGGCTGCTTTGGGCTCTGGGGTCCTTTCCTGGGCTTTTGGGACCTCAGTGATGGGTCCTCCTCGGAGCTGTGGTCCCAGAGGCTTGGTCGCATGGTCCCTATCCTGGGTACCCGGCATCCTGGGGTACTGGTATGCCCTGGGTACCCATCACCCCTTCCCTCCAGTCCATGGGGACTGGTGCTGATGGTGGTGGAGGGGGGGCAGGGACTCCTGTCTGTCCACTCATCCCTAAGGAAAACCCTCAAGGGGGATGGAGGGAGACGGCTCCTTGCTGTGGCTTCTCCAAGGCCTTCTAGCAGGGTTGGGTGCTGACTGCCCCGGCTCTCCCCACAGGCAGCAGCTCGGCACCAGTGCTCCTACCTGGTGGGCTTGCACATGGGGGAGTTCCTGCAGGTGGGGGGGAACCCTGCATGGCTGCAGGGGCTGCACTGTGCCCCCCCGAAGCTCAGGAACCTCAATGAGATCAACAAGCTGCTGGCGCACCGGCCCTGGCTCATCACCAAGGAGCACATCGAGGTGAGAGCACCCCAAACCCCGCAGCCAGTTTTTGGGGGGGGGGCACATCCTGCTTGTACAACCCCCACCCCGGGCTGAACCCATGGGAACGGGTGGCTTGTGCCCTATGGCTGGTCTATGGGGAGGCACATCCTGAACCCGCTCATCCCTCCTGGCCCCATGGCAATGGGGTGTGATGGGGGGTGCAGCTGTGGGGGGGGTCTCTCCAATGCCATGTCCCTCACAGGCCCTGCTGAAGACAGGGGAGAACAGTTGGTCCCTGGCAGAGCTGGTGCAGGCCCTGGTGCTCCTCACCCATTACCACTCCCTCGCATCCTTCGTCTTCGGCTGCGGCATCAACCCCGAGGAGGACCAGGAGGGGGGACAGGGCTGCTGGCCCCCCCCGACCCACAGTGACAGCAGCCCGGCCTTTGAGGACAGCATGGGGGGCTCTGGGGTAAAAGAGGGGGCTCAGCCTTGCAGGGGCTGGGGTGGGTAGGGAGGGCATGGTGGGGTGATGAGCTGCCCTATGGGGCTTCCACTGGGAGCAGCTTTAGAGCCATCTTCCCAGTGCCAGGGCTGAGGCATGGGAAGAGCCAGGGTCTGGGCAAGGCCCGGAGGCTGGGGCTGGTTCCGAGCTGCAAGCAGCTCCATGCTCCCCTTTGCAACCCCTCTGCAGCCTTGACCCTGGGCTCTGCTTCCCCAGGCCAGAGACGCCATGCAGGAGGTGGAGGTGCTGATGGAGAGGATGAAGCTGCTGCAGGAGAGCCAGCAGGAGGAGGAGGGCGTCACGCAGGAGGAGATGGAAACGCGCTTTGAGATGGAGAAGACGGAGAGCTTGCTGGTGGCTCCCTCGGGTGAGGAGGAGCAGGGGTGCTGCTGGCTGGAAGTGGGGTCCCCATGGGGCAGGGAGGGGGGGAGGAGCTGGGAACAGTGCAGGGATGAGCAGGATGAGCTCCGTGATGAGCCCACGTCACCCATGGCCACTGCGGTGCTGTCTCCTAGACCTTGCGGATCACTCCCTGCAGTCCAACGTGCTCTGCTTCGTGGAGGACCCCGAGTTCGGCTACAAGGACTTCACCCGGCGGGGGGAGCAGGCACCCCCCACCTTCCGTGCGCAGGTGGGTGCTCGCATCGATCCTGCACAAAGGGAAGGGATGCAGGGGGCTGGTCCCTGGCTTTGAAGGGAGCCAGGCTGAGAGACCTGGGCTGGTTCAGCCTCTAAGGGGAGACCTCAGAGCAGCTCCAGTGCCTGAAGGGGCTGCAGGAAACCTGGAGAGGGGCTTGGGACAAGGGATGTAGGGACAGGCCAAGGGGAATGGCTTTAACCTGCCAGAGGGGAGACTGAGATGAGCTCTTAGGCAGAAGCTCTTCCCTGTGAGGGTGCTGAGGCGCTGGCACAGGGTGCCCAGAGCAGCTGTGGCTGCCCCATCCCTGGCAGTGCTCAAGGCCAGGTTGGACACAGGGGCTTGGAGCAAGCTGCTCCAGTGGAAGGGGTCCCTGCCCGTGGCAGGGGTTGGAGCTGGAGGAGCTTTAAGGTCCCTTCAACCCAAACCAGGCTGGGAATCTA